GCATAGACTTTTGATGAGTTTGGAGGTTTGCAAATGCATGCAACGTGTTCATCATGGTGACGACAATATGGTTCAAGCAACCATGGGTCTGATGGTAACGATTCCGTAGTTGTCTGTTTCGTGGCTCTTGGGAAGGGTTTTCATCGGAATGTACGCCGTTTTCAAAGGGTAGCAATTTGAGGGCTTTGGTTTTGCAGTGTATTCATCATGGTGACGATGGTTCGAACAATCTGATGATAACGACGCTATAGTTGTATGTAAGTCATCAATCCCCCCTACCCCCCACCCCCGTGTGCAGCTTAAATCGGCTTTTTTTGGAAGCTGATATTTGCATTTACAAGAGGAAACGAAAATTCTCCACGTGCGATTAGGGCACGCCAAGGCGATGAGGGCCCTGAGGGCATGAGGGCGCTGAGCGCGCCGAGTTGTGAGCCCCAAGCCATGCGTGGTTGGACGTCAACGTTCAGGGCATCAGCCCGAAAGCTGACTTTGAGATTGTTTCGGCCCAAATTGAAATTTAGCATTTGGGGGTTCTGTCCGCGCATCCATGGCCCAACTTGGCCCAAGTATATAATGACGTGCGTGGGCTAACACGTCCTGAATTCACAGCATCCATCAACCCCATGATGACGTTCATGCGCATCCATGGACCAACCATAATGCATGACACTTATGCTCTGTGATGCGTTGTGAGTTCGCAGCATCCATGACCCAACCACTGTTGGAAAACACAAAACCCTGGGACAACCAACAAATCCAAAAGTTTCGGGCCCCTCAGAAAGGTTTTGGATCCTTGTTTTTTTTGGTTGCCCCCGTCGTAACATGTGGTCTCTTGAACTGTTTCTTGCTTGTGAATGCAGGCATATTAAGAGCGGATATGGGTAGGCACGACGTTGTAAAGAGACTTCAAATCAGCCATGAAATGTAAGGAGAAGTTATCATCCATGAAAAGTATCCGTTTTGACGGGATTTAAAATGGAAAGGAAAAGAGGCCCAGGTAGGTCATGGGGGGGTGGGTGTCCATATATACGTATCCTACAGGAATAGCACCCCAGAGAATCATGAACCTGAGCCTCCGACCTGGACAGCGCCTCATAAAGGCCAGTCACTGTGAGGTGTCCTGGCACTTTGAAGGCTGTGACTTTAGGGTTGCACGGTTAGCGGGTTATTGTGGTTTGAGGGTTTGGTTGAGGGCCAAACGCATTTGTACTCTCTGGGGGGCGTGTTTGACAAACATCAAATGGTGACTTCTGCGACGCACGAGCATGCGCACACACAGACAGACGGACAGACGCATGCAGGTCACAATATGTTATGAGGAAGAGGTGGTAAGAAGCAGTAGTACCCCGTAGAATAGCGTGATAGTTTAGGCCCCAACTATTCCAACCTAGATCACGCCCATACTGGCAACCATGGATGGCTTCAGCATTGCCACCTAGCTCGCTGGAACATGCCAGGGTGCACCGAACCCGTTTCGGTCAATCATCGCCAAACTTTGGAGGATCTGATCCCGGCCGTCCTGGCCCAGGTTGCTTTGTATCGATAGCCTTGATACTGTTCTGCGATTGCTTGTGTCTTTGCTTGCTCCTGTATAACCTTCCGTCCATATATACTTTCGAAAGCCCTCCACCCGCAACCCTTTTTTTGGAAACCCAAACGCGATGCTATATATTATACTGCTATAGAGATTTTAGGGACTCCGAATGACTCCGACCTCTTCTGAGGGCAAGGAGAAAGGCGGTCGCAGGTTGGACAGAGCGCAAAAGTTAAACTCTAAAACCTCACAGCACGAAAAAACCCTTCTTGAATCATTTCAACCCTTGGAGCAGGCAGGGTTTGGGGCTTCGGGCTTCGAAGTCAAAGGTCTAAGTAGCCTCATCCCCACCCCCCAAATATATTAAAATCCGAAAGTTCGACTCCTACTAAACCTTGAACGCTGAACCCCCGAAGCCCTCAACCCTGGAACTCAAAAACCGAAACTCCAAATATTATCCAAAATCCTAAGCTTTAAGGGTTCAGGGCTGATCCGGTGTGCTGCCTGGAAATTTGCCCGGGCGACGCCTTGTCTGACCTCGTTTCGGGCTCAGGTTTTTTTTGGCTTATAGGGAGCAGGGTTAAGGCGGTTCGGGCTTTGCGGATTTGGAGTCGTATAGTGTTGGGCTTCAGGCGTTTGGGCAAAGATTTCAACGAGTATTGCAAGCCGCAAACCCCAGAACGCTACACCAATCCACTTTTTCGGTGCACGCGGTTTTGCCAAATCTCGCCGCTTTCCCGCACCAGCTGAACGATGAAAGCCGAAAAGCCCTAAGCCTGGAGCAGGTGCTCATCGGCTCTCGGTGTTTACCGAAGAGAACAAATACGGGTGTACGTACGTATGTGTGTGTGTGCATGCACGTATAGTTGTACGCGTGTGTGTATGTACGTACATAGGCATGTATGTATGCATGTGTGTCTCTAAATGCAGGTGCACAGACATTCAGTGCACTATACGTATACATGTGTATGTGTGTATGTGTATAAGCAAGTGGGTTTATAGATATGTACCTGTATGTGTATACATATATATATATATACATATACATACACTTTTGTCTTTATTTCGTCATATTGTTTATGTACACATACGAACAAGTAGCGTACACATACATAGCCCGATCACACACGACTTGAGAAGGAATGGAATTTGCTTGAAAGGCATGAGCACGTCACCAGGTGGGTTCAACGCAACCGTATCTGTTCCGAAGGCGATTTGACCTAGGATTCATGCCGCATGTTAGCGTGCCAGCTCCACACAACTGCACTACAATAATGACCACCACTAGCATCAGCACCAACATCATCATCGCCATGATCATCGTTATCATCGCCGTCGTGGCCATCATCGTCGTCAACATCTGCCTCTTCGATTTTAGCACGATCGGTTACGCAAATGCGTTCTCCACTAGCAGTACTAGTACTAAGAATAGTAGTAATACTGATATGAAACCGTAAAACAATCGAACTGGAAAGCAGATGTGCTCCGGATAGGAGCAGCAGCGGGAGCAGGAGCCGGAGCATGAGCAGGAGCCGTAGCAGTAGCAGTAGAAGTAGTCGTAGCCGTAGTCCTAGCAGTAGTAGTAGTAGTAGTAGTAGTAGTAGTAGTAGTAATAGTAGTAGTAGTAGTAATAGTAGTAGTAGTAGTAGCAGTAGTAGGAGTAGGAGTAGGAGTCGTAGTAGTGGTAGGAGTAGTAGTAGTAGCAGTAGCAGTAGCAGTAGCAGTAGCAGTAGTAGTAGTATTAGTATTAGTAGTAGTAGTAGTAGTAGTAGTAGTAGTAGTAGTAGTAGTAGTAGTAGTAGTAGTGGTAACAAAGAGGTTGGCAAGGCAGACATCTTTGGCAAGCCACAAAACTTCGTAAGGACCAGGCTGCCGTTGCCCTGAATGAAGGTTTCACGCTCCTCAGTACAGATTTGCATCGACTGCGGAACGACATCAAATCATCTCCGCGGCCTGTGCACTGCTGCTGCTACTGAGGTCACTGTGTTTTGACCAGTATTGTCTGCTGTCCCAAGCCCGGGCCTGAGCGACGACTAGCCGGAGAAACAAAGCAGGAAGAATAAAGTGCCGATTGGGAAGAAGACATGAAGTTTGTGGGCCAGCTCTGGAATTGTTAAAGGCCCTGGTGTTGCGCAAAACAGGACCTCGATGTCAACGCTGCGCGTTCAGAGATGATGTCGTCGAAATGCAACGGCACGGTGTAGATGCTGTATTGCAGCTCACTCCCATGTACAGCTGGGGGCCCCGGCGCAGTCGAGGTGCTCCAGAACCGGTCCCGGCCCACCTCGTCCTTGCCCACCTTGCTCGTAGCGTGCATGGCAGGACTCTTGTGACCGGGCATCTGGTGAAAATACCGACTCGGCATGTACAATAGGAAGGCAAGGGTTTGCGCAGCAGTTTGCCGCGCTGCTGGTTTTTTGAATGTTTTCTCGGCGCTGCTTGGCTTCTACTTCAACGCTGCATGTATAGGCGACGCGCAGACAAACTTTAAACCGCATGCAGTTCAGGGTGGGGAAGTGAAGTTTCAGATCTAAGCCCCCGAAACCATCCCCAACTAACCACCTCACCGCTTCCTGTCTTACACGTTGTTGTCCGCAGAAACGTGGCAAGCCACACCTCCAGCACTCCCTGTACTCGTGCTTGAACCAGAAGAATGGCAGGAGGGGCGTACATGATGGGTGGTGTGAATTTCTCCTGCACCGACACAACCATGACCCAACAAAACCGCATACCGTACATACCACAGCAAAACCGACACCACCTGCTGCCCAACACTTTATAGCTAAGGCCTCCACCTCAAGAATCCATACAGCTCGCTCTCCCAGTCAATGCCAAACTGTCTCAACCGAGTAAAGCTACAGAGCCAGGATAATTCGCGAACGGACTCAAGCTTTCCCCAGTCTCTGTCCATGGGTCAAGAGCGGTCGATACTGAGCACTCGCCGAATGTCGACTCACAACACTCACAGCAAATGCACTTCCAGGGCATGCCAGGTCGCGTTTGCTCCGAGACAGACCGTGCAAGCTGTTTTCAACAAATGCGGCGCATGGCCACGAGAACATTGTGGTTGTTTGCTAACTTTTGAACGAATGCAGAGATGAGGGCAAGCCCAGCATGAGCTTTGCTTCGTTCGGGACGGCAACTGCTAAACGCGAGAGCAGCAGCCGACAAGAAGAAGAAGAGAGCTGCAACAGTGGACCTAGTTCGGACTGCTGACCCCCATATGACGCACCTGTGATTCAATGGTAAAGAGACAATGAAGAGACCCCAAACCAGCGAGCAAGTGCATCGATTTTTTGCAGCGGCCGGTGCTGAATGTCCCGAAGAATCTTGTGTCGGGTGCCGACGTTGACGCCGCAAATAGCGTCATGAGCACACCGTCGGTACCCTACCAACCAGGGCCCAGAACAGAAACCGGACAGCCGAACCAATCGAGGCCTATGACTTTCCGGGCTGCCGTCCGAGGTCAGTCCATCATCATGGCCTTTCGCTTCTGCGCGACTTTCCTTGGTCGCAGGCAGGGCTTTGGGTGTAGCTTAGTCCTTGTGCGCGGTGGAGAGTTTTCAAGGTGAGCTGAGACCAGATCTGTCCTTCCTTCTTGTACCGAAGCTTGCGCGACTCTTTCTGATGAGCATCTCGCTTGTCCTGGTCCAGGGGTCGAGTGTTTCTGGATTTTCGGGGATTCCAGCGAAAGGCTTGGAGTTTGTCAGGACCCATTGATTCAACGAAATGGGCGATGTACTTATGTTCTTGTGGCATGTTGATGCTCCTGGCAATTCAGCACAGATTGGTTCAGCTTTTCCTGGAGGTTTGCTCACCTTCCGTTTTCGCTCTCCCTCGGCGGAAACGGGCGCTGTAGATTGGATGGGGAGGAACTGATGTAAATTCGCAGCAGCAAGCTCCACCGTGCTGGACCAGCTTGGCCAAAGAAAGCCTTGCAGTGATCCCACTACTCTACATTAGGGATTCTCCTTATCCCCAAGGTTTCTCTGCGCCTTCCATTCTTGAGAAAGGTCGCAGCGTGCAAGGCTGCCATTTGCTTAAGCATTTCGGTTCAGGAAGTGGGACTTAATAAAATCAGGAACGCAATTACATCAGCGGCATTTGACGCTTAGTTCCCGGTTTAAGAACCGGGCCTGAATGAACTTGTCCTTTACTTCCTTTGCCTTCTTTCTGCGGCTGCTGGCTTCGTGCCGAACCTTACCAAGCCGAGCTGGCCGGCCAACAACAAGAGGAAACACTCAGTCTCGAAACTCCTTGCTAGCATAGCCGTGAGCTGAAAGGGGCGTCAACGACGCAACGACCCAACAAGTCAGCCAAGTCCCAGCTCTGGGTCCCAGAAAGCTTCAGCTTAGCCACAGCTTACACCGAGCTGGGGATCGCATGCCTTTTCATTCGAATAATAGGACGACCTGCTTGTAGCCCTACTCTCCCTTACTGGGGGTTCACTGGTAACCGGCATGGCTTCAGTGCCCCACTCGCGCTTTCTCCTTGCGGATGGTGTATAACCTCCCACCATGAAGGCTCTTGCAGATTTTGACAACTGCGACTGCCTCCAAGCTCTCAATTGGCGCAGGATTTGCAACCCAAACGACCCATATGCTGCTGAAACCAGCGAGCTGCTTCAGTTGTGGCTACGCGCTACAGCATTGATTCAAGCCCTGCCGCGAAAGACAGCATCGTCCCTCGCAGGACTCAAGCCCCCCAACAGGAGCATTGACGAGCGCCTGTGAAGGAGGGCGTTGACGGCCTTCTCCCTCTCGCTGGAAACCTTGAGCAACACAAGATGCAGTAGGTATTTGGATTTACGCTTTGCTAGCATCTGGGTCTGTAGAATGAGCACGAGGGTCTCAAGAGAACTGAGGAACTCTGGGTTCCGCGCAATTGCAGCCTTCTTCGCCAGGCCCGTCTTGCGGCTCTTTGGCAAGTAGCGGGTCTTGGCCTTGAAGGGCAACGACGCCTGTGGGGGGGGCCGGGGGAGGTGCGGTGAGGGTGAGGATGCTTTGAGGGGCATCGAAGGCTTGATAGTTTGGCGGGCTTTTCGGGTTTGCAAAGCTTGGATGAGTTGACGGCTGCATGGACGATTGCAGGTGGGCTCGAGGTTGTGAAGGATTCCTCCAACATGTGGAGCTTTAAGATCTCCAGGCGCTTCCGAAACTCAACTCAGACAAAAATGCCCTGTGCACGGCAAGGGACTCCACTCCACCTGAGCCTAAACCAGCAGCCGCAAACCCCAAACTCTCGGACAAGAATCGTGCTCCTGCGTATCTTCATACTCCTACACAAGACTGGTGCGCTGCGGTATGCATAGACATGTCAGTTTCAACCGTGCAAGTATAGGATGTAAGGTCTATATCTGTATCGACCTCTATATATCCATCTGTATGTGTATCTCTATCTGTCTTCCTGTACCGGTCTCTATACGCAAACCTATACCTACATCTACATCTAAGTGAACCTGGGTCTGTACCTATGTCTATATCTATATCTATCAGCTGTCACAGCCCTTGTACGAATGCACGAACGCTGGAAGTAACCTTGACAGAACCCATACAGAAACTTCGCGGAACCGCTATCGTAACCCGTACAGTAACCCTTCTGGGAACCCTTCTGGTAACTCGGATACAGGATTTTTGTGTATATATACATCTTCATATACAAATACATATACAAATACATACATACATACATACATACATACATACATACATACATATACATCTATATATATATATATGTATATGTATATAGAAACCCGTACAGGATTTTACAGGTCTGTGTTTTGTCGTCCTGGAGGCTCCGCGGCACTTGAACCGCGTTGAAGCGGCGCTCGGGTCTCACGAGCTGCCGCCCGTAGTGGCCTCGCTTGAGTTTGGCGTCGTGCTTTCCGGTTTTCTGGGCCTGGGACTGCTTGCCTTATTCGGCTGTAAGTTTGAGGTCTGAGTTGCAGGCTGAGGGTTTAGAGCTAAAGGCCTACAGGCCCAAGGGCAGCGGCTCAGGAACTGGGTTGAAGAAGTTCACAAAGCCCGAGTACCTAATTGCCTGCTTGGTCGTTTCTTTCTCGTGGGCAGCAAATGTCCGGCCCAAGTTCTCGTGGCGCTAAGCTCTCCGCTGTCTTGATTGTCCGGAACAGGCATGCCTGAGAGACGAGGAAGCGGAAGGGATTCTTAGAAAGCTCCACAACGCCAGAACCATTCTTGAGCTTGAGGAGCCTGTTCTTCAAGATTTGCACCGCCAAACTGTGTCGGCTTCCGGCTTATGGTCTGAGTCCAAGGGCCAGGGCTTAAAGTCTCGGGCCCGCCCCGACGGCTACCGGAGGCGGCCTTGGGAGGCGCGAAGCTCACCGATAAGCCGCGCCGGGCGCCAGTTCGGCACGTCAATGACGGGATGATAGAACCTGGTCACAGGATTTGGGATGTGTTCCAAACCAGGGAGCCGTCTGTGGCTACTTCTTATGGTACACACGTACCAGGATATGCAGGACTTATTCGGGCCCTGGCGGGATCCCTGACTTTGAACTATGCCCATGAACGGCCATTGTGGGCTGTGCCACAGGCCAGACGTATCACGAACAACATGCCGGCCACACTGCTTGAAAGGCACGGTGATCCAGCACCTCAGCGTCCCAGCCCAGGCGCATCCTAAGCATCGCAGCCACAGGAAGCCCACACCAGCCAAACATTAAGAGCTGTGCTTGCAGACGACGAGGTCGGACATCAGTATTCTGTCCTGCAACTCGCAGCATGCACTGTCCCCGGTAGCATAGCTGCATGATTCTAGCATTCTAACACAGCCTGAAGTAAGACCTTGAAAACCGCGATGAAGCGTCCTGATCGGCTGTCCCTTCCACGTGCTCGTTGAGTCCAGGTTTTCGACTGTGATAAAGGTCCGGAGTTGGTGTTTCACTGTTGGGCATACGGCATACTGTTAGGTTTGCACATGTAGCAGGTATGGATCAGGAATGGTAAATGCATCAAAACCTAGAACTTGGCATCTAAAACCTTTTGACCGTAAAGGACCCAAAAGCGTCCAACCGCCACCCCCTAAAACCCAAACCCCTGGAGCCTTAAATCCGAAACCCCTGAAACCACAACCAGCCTGAAAACGCCAAAGCCCCAAACCTCCCGCGCTAAATCCCCAACCTCTGAAGCCCTCACGTCCTGACGCCCAAACCCTAAAACCCAAACCCCTAAAGAACCCCCACGTGCTCCTCGAAAGAAGCCCGGAAGTGCCCTTTGACACCTTCGGCCTGCGCAGCACTGAGGGGGCGAGGCGTTGGTGTGGCAGTCGAAACCCTACCCAACTAGTCCGTAGTGAAGGCAATATGGAACGCACGACGCTCAAGCAGTCTAATATGATTCTGGGTGCAGGAGGGTGCATTGGACTGAAGGAAACATCGAAGAACTCTCTCGGAGATCTAATTTATAGGCTCCAGGAAAACCGCAAACCTTGGTGAGACCCGAATTCTCAGGATCCGATGATCTCGGCAGTGTTCAAGGCTCCACGGTGCCCAAGGCATCTGAAAGATCCAATCAAACTGAACTCGGCACAGGCCTTCTTGACTTCGCCGCGGATGCCACTCACGGTCTGGATCTTGGCATGCATGTACTTGTTCACCTGCAAACCCCAGAAGCAGAAGTCGCGTATCTAAGCCAACAGCACACGTGGGCACCCAAAGGCCAGCACCACTAAAGGTATCGTTGAGGAACGCATAGACATGATCATTCATTTTCTAAATGGTGCTGAAATACTTATACAAGTGCAGAATATGCAGCTTGACAACACTTGAGACAGTGACCATCAGAAGGCCACATCTAATCCGAATGGTCGTCAACATGTTCACTCCAAATCCATCGACTCGGTCGGCCTGGGGGTATGGTCCCAACCGAACGCCGCAAACACTCAAACTTGCTTGTTGATGGCTGCTTCTGCTGCTGCACACGCAACTGCAGCTGCTGTGCTACGAAGCACCGAAAAGCGCTGCACCCGAAACTCTTCAAAGGGCACACGTGCAGCTCTACCATGCTCATGGCTTCAGTCCTGGCTGAAAGCAGCCCTGTCAAACACCAGTTCCATCCTGCCTTTGAGCAGATGATCCTAGATCCATAGACCAATACTCGAACACCCGGACACCCGAACACCCTAAGGTGTTTGGGGAAGTCAAGAACTTCAGCCCCTAAAACCTCATGCTAAACCCTACAAACCCAAACAACCCACAAGAACTTGAAGACCAAGCTCTATACACTCTAGAACCCTGAATCCCGGCAACGTTCAAACATTCCCAACACGCCACACCCTACATGACATATCCTACATCCTCCCCGACCTCCAGATCCGAGCTGAACATGTTCTTCACGAAGGCCGTGTTCCGGAAGATCTTGTAGGGCCTGAGCAGGAAGGAGGGAGTTAATCGGAATGCTGCACGTCTGAGAGTCTGACCCAATCGCGCATCCTGGGCGGCCAACTCACCCACGAGCTTAAGCTTCTTCTTCACCTCAAAGTTCGGCGCGGCCTCCATCACCTGGTCTGGAATCCGCGTGGTGATTGGAGGCTGCGAGGCTTCAGAAGCCCAGTACCCTGTCGAAGTTCCCTACGCTGAGCTCACAAGCCTAAGTCCTGCTCGGGAAGTCTCAAGAGTAGGCAGGGCCGCGGGGGTCTACCATCCGAAACCCCAACAACCTTGGGCTCGAAACCTGGAAGCCTGACCCCTGCAACCCTGAAGCCTTCTGAAACCCTAAGCCCTACAACCTACAAACGTGAAACTTAAGCCGGGGGTCCCAGGTTCAGGGGTCTCAGCCTTCCGATACATAAATGCAAACCATAAAGCCAAGTTTAAGGATCTAGGCAACGGGGTACAAAGGTGAAGAGCTCAGGGTCGAAAGCCTTGGTGCGTTTCGCGAAGATACTTATATTCTCATCGCCACCACAGATTCTCAGCAGTAAAGATACCAATGAGAAGAATTGCGCTCATCGACATATGAAAGACCACAGGTCACAACCCGAAAGAATCCGAAAGAACCATAGATAATGCTTCATTGAACTAGACCCAATGCGCAACGCAGACTGGGTATCGGGCGACACCAGTGCCACACACCCGGAAGTGGCCAATCTTCTCCCAGCTCCTGCTCCAAGAAAAATTTGTGAGCGCAGGGCATTCAAGGCTGCTCAGGGTTCCAGAAGGGCTGAACATCACGCTTCTCGGCCCGGGCTTTGTACTTGTAGGATGCTCGTATGCATGAGTGTATGCATGCATGCCCTTTTCAGTCTGCATGCGAGTTTGTGATATCTATATCTGTGTATGCATGTATGTTTATATAATATACCTTGCTCGTACTCCTTGGGAATTTAGGGGGTTGTCTGGGGTGTCATGTGGATCGAAGTTTGTGCGATAAAGGCAAAGCTTCCGCAGGACTGAGGAGCCTCTAAACATGGGGAGTGCGCTCGGTCACGGACCCAAGTGGGCTTCGAAGACCAGCTCTCAATTGCAGCCCTTGCAATCAGTCGAGCAGCCTGAACGCAAGGATTCCCGTATTGGGTGGAACCATGGGTCCATAGCCTGGCAGACGAGAGAACAGTGAAGAGCTTGGGATTTTGGCTCGCAACAACCAAGATTGGAAGCAGAGTGCAGCAGCGACGTCTGAAGACTAGCAGAGCGAAGCTGAGCAAACGACTGGTCATCGTGCAGTGGGCATGCTCCAACGTGTACTTCAGGTAGCGCATGCCTCAGCGACGCAAATGAGGAGCTCGAGCCTTATCCCGTGGTTTCAAGGTGTCTGGTTCATGATTCAGAACACAAGATTCCGAAGAGGAGCCTCCGCACGCGTCACTCCCGGGTTCAAGAGAGCGTGTTCCTGAGTATGTGACGCTTCTCTCCCCGGTCTTCCAAGGAGAAGCACGGCACAGTCCTCAGCTGGCTTCTCTATGACTTGAGGCGGCTTCTCAGCCTTTTGGATTGGCTTAGAGGTTGGAGGCTTCCGTCTCTCTGTTACTGGCTCTGGGCTCTGGGTTTCTGGGCCGGCTTGCCGTGCGCCCCCTTGAAAGGATCCAGATTGCATATAGGCCATGTAAGTCTTTTGGATGGGACTCCTTATCAAGCCAAGGATCTGGAAACGCCTCCAGCCAACCGACAGAAGCAGGGCGTCGGAGCTCTTCAGCAGCTTCGGATGCCATCGATGTCGCTTGATCCTGGTCTGCACCTCGCGGAGCGTTTTGTATCAGGGTCTCGCACAGAAGAAAGAAGCAAGGGGGCACTGAGGCCCTTGCCAGGCCCATCCGAGACTCACCCGGTAGTAAGCCACCAAGAATCAGTGGCCTCAGCGGGGCGCTGGCCAGACTTTGAATCCTAAGCATGCACTGTGATGTGTGATACAACGAAAAATCCTTAGCATCATCTGTGATGCAATCCCTGTTGTCAGAAGGGTGGACTCCACAGGCAGTCCGAGCCTTGATGGACAGGCAACACCAATCAGGCTGTTGGGGTGCATAATCGTATAAGAACGTGTAAGCGCATGTAGCAGTATAATCATATCAGGACTATAAGAGGAATGTATTGCCGTACACCCTAGCGGATTGAGCTCTGGTGCCTCTCTCCACGCATCGCTGCGACACAGGCAGCGGGAACATCCTCTCCACAGGAAGGGCTGTCAACGGTGGCTGACATCTTGCACGTCTACTATTCTTTTATGCGTACGTATCCCTACATACATCTGTACGTACGTATGTATAAATGTATCTATATATATATATATGTATTTACAGACACATATTCAGACTCATATTCATGTGCATGTTTATGTACAGGTACATGTGTACATTTATATTTACACACATACGAGACTGTACACACGTGTATACATATCCACATACATACACATAAAGACATGTGTGTGTGCGCCACATGTATGCATACATACATACATACATATATATAGATATATATATAAATAAATAAATATATATATATACTGGCTATATACATGATATGTGCTAAAAAAAGTGCATACAAGTAACTTCAGTGCCTGAGGTTGTCTTGCATGCAGTATATCACCTTCTACGAAAGCTCGTTTGCAGTCTGGGATGCCTACACCACCGCCTTTCGAACCACACACTACACTGTAGCAGTTTAGACTTTGGACAGCCGCGTATGCTTCCGACAGGCACGCTGTCTGACAGTCCTCCAGACGAATTCGCACGAAGGTGCCGATCGGAAAGCCTGTCGAGTGACAGTTCTTCAGTGAGACTCATGCCAGGTTGACAACCGATAAGATTTGTAACAACCCTTACCGCCCAAGCCCCACCCCTCGATTCGCCGGAATACAGGCTGCTGGTAACAGGTCAGCCGCACTGTCTGAGAAGTCCTCCAGCAGACCGTTCTCGGGGGCACCACCGTCCTCCTCCCGGGGCGATGAAAGCTGCGGCAATTTCAACAATGATTCTACAAGCAAGCAGGTGACAGCATGGCGATCTCCGATGTTACTGCCATTACCGCGGTGTACCACGGCTTACCACGGCCTACTCCTAGTCCTACTCCTCGTCCTAGTCCTACGTAGTCCTACTCCTCGTCCAAGTCCTAGTCCTGGTCGCTCCTGCTCCTGCTCCTGCTTCTCCTCCTGCTCCTGCTCCTCCTCTTCTTCTCCGTCTCCTTCTCCTTCTCCTTCTCCTGCTCCTGCTCCTGCTCCTGCTCCTGCTCCTACTACTCCTCCAACTACTCCTACTACTCAAATTACTCCTACTACTCCGACTACCACTCCTACTACTCCTACTCCTACTCCTACTCCTACTCCTCCTCCTCCTCCTACTCCTACTACTACTACTACTACTACTACTACTACTACTACTACTACTACTACTACTACTACTACTATTGCTACTACTACTACTACTACTACTCCGACTGCTCTGACTACTACTCCTACTGCTCTGCTATTCCTACTACGACTACTACTACTACTACCACCACTACCACTACCACTACCACTACCACTACCACTACCACTACCACTACCACTACCACTACCACTACCACTACCACTACCACTACCACTACCACTACCACTACCACTACCACTACCACTACCACTACCACTATCACTACTACTACTACTACTACTACTACTACTGCTACTACTACTACTACTACTACTACTACTACTGCGATTACTACTACTCCTCCTACTTCATACTTCTACTCGTACTCCTACTCATGATCCTACTCCTACTCATGATCCTACTCCTACTCCTATTTCTACTGCCACTGCTCCTGCTACCGCGACCGCTACTACTCCAAGTCCTACTCCTACTCCTGCTGCTACTGCTACTGCCACTGCAACTGCTATTGCTGATGCTAGCGCTGATGCTGATCCTGATACTGTGGCTGCTGCTTTTGCTGCTGCTGCAGCATCTGATCTGCAACTTTAAGTGCTTCAGACATCTTAGAAGCCATCATTAACTTTCACAGCATCCAGCTAGCCCCGCACCTTGCAAGACTGTGGGGAAGATTCTGCCGTCCCTTCTACACTGCGAACCCTAAGCCTTTCAAGCCCGCTTCTCTCCTGCTTCTCAGCATTCCCGCCATCCTCGGCATTCTCGGCGTTCTCGTCCTGCCCAGTCCATTTGAAAACCTTTGTTGTCGCGCTAAACAGCCATGGGGCACCGGAATGTCAAGCTATATCTCCACCCGCCCACGCCTTAAATGAAAAGCCCGAAAGCCCTCCACAAGTCTAACCAAGGACTTAGCAAAATGACATAGTTAACGAGAGCTTCCATCGCTGCTGCGGGAGACGCAGACATAGCAGCAATGTTTGTTTTCTGTCCGTGCAGCTTACATCTTGGAGATTGAGTCCAGTGCTTCAAAAGAGCGACGGCTGCAGGGTTTCGTGCCCGCCCGCCGAGTGAAGAACAGAGAGGAACAAAAACAAAGCAAGAAAAGAAACATCCTCGGCAAGGTTAACTGACCGACGGCTGCGACAGATTAAGGTAGCAATGTTCTTAGTTCTTGCTACGCCAATCTTTCGTAAATCGGACCACTTAAGTTTACAACAAAACCTTCACCCTTTTAGCTTCTGGCTTGGATCCAAAGGCCCTTTCTGCTCCTCTTCTTTCTCCTTCCCGTCCGCCTGGCAAACAGGCCGGTTCTCGCTTATAGGGCTTCGAGGTTTTCGGTCTCAAGGTTTCGGGTTTAGGGCCCCGGGGCCGTCGGAGGCCAATTCTGAAGAGTTTAATGTCTGGGTCTTCGTTGTTCGGCAAGCCCTCTGGTGACCCGAGTTTCGGATCACTCTTGCCGGCGTAGGGACCCGGGTGGTGCCAACGTTGAACATGACTCGCAGAGTCTAGACCTTGCAACAACCGGCATCTGGCATCTGCGTCTGTGTTAGCTACTCCGGTACGGCACACAGGAAGGCTAAGAAAGAAGTGCTTCGACAATCGAGCTTGGACACTGCTACCTAGCAAGTCCATAGACTTGAACGAAAATAGAACTGAGTGTGGTAATCGATCTTATGGCTGTTCTTGTTGTTCTTTATAAGGATAGTACGGAAACGATCCTTCTAATTACAGTCATGCTGATAACTTTGTGGATATCGTTACTGCTGTTACTACTGTTCTGAATGCTACAAACATTGTTTCTTTACTACTGCTTTGCTATTATGACTATTCTGACCATTGGTATTCGTATTACTACAAATGTTATGATTGTAACTGTAACTATGACCATGATTCTGATTGTAAGTATGCTATGATCAAGAATATAAGTATGGCTGCGATTCTTAGAAATTCTTAGTACTGTTGTCATCATGCTCAGTATCATTATTTGACATTTTCTGTGCTATCGTTATCATCTTTACCTCACGAGTACTAGTGGTGGTCGTCGGCGTGTTTTTGTGGATGTCACTAGTATACATAGTGTTGTTACTAGAGCAATAGCAGTTATTCTTTTCTCTGCATCGTGCTGTCTACGATGACCGAGCACTCACCGCGCCGAGGCCTCGTCAGGGTCAGGGTCGTCTTCCTCGGCGGAGCTCCAACCGCCTCGGAGTCATGATGTTCGGCTTGAGTGTCCACCACCTCTGCCTATCACTACCGCCTATACCACCACTGGCACTACCACTAAGACGAGATCGTGGCGACGCCGACGACGGCGACGACGACGAAGGCTACTGCTACGACTATTGCTGCTACTACAAGTAGCACTGAGGCGATGTTGGTGACGACGAAGGTGACGGTGAGCGAAATCCTTACCAGGTGACACCGGCTACTATCATCACTGCCACCACTGGCAACACTGTCGCTATTTAATTCTGCATTATTGCAGTTACAGCATTCACAGTAGCTGCCAAAAAAAAACCTATCAGGCCAGCAGAACAAAGGCGATGCAACGATAACTACTATCTGCAAACCTTGCCACCATTTGCATCGTTACTATGAGTAACCTCATTAGCATTCTTCTTCTTCTTCTTGTTATTGTCGCCGGTATTACGGCACTTGATCTTCTTATCACCACCATTTTAGCACGGTGAAGTTCTTGAACCTAGGGCCGAGGGTGGCTAAACTCTACAGAGCCCAAAACCTGATCCAAGACCCTCCCAGGCACAGCTCCACGGCGTCGTTGCCGAGCCTCGCGCCTGTGATGAACTTCCGCGCCTTGTACATGTTCTACTGAAGTCGGAACCCCATCACAAAAAAGGTTTCGGGGGCCTACAGTGCTAAGAGTTTAAGGGTCTTGGGCTTTGGGCTTCGGGTTTCTCGCAATCTCGGATTTTGGGATCTCTCTGCTTGCCATTGGCCTCTGAGCGACTCAGGCACCTGCGTCACCTGAAACCCTAGAACTCCAACTGCACCAAGCTCGGAATAGCTTCCAATTCTCAAAAGATCCTGGCTCAACACCACGAAGCCCTCTTCTCTCATTCACCGCACGGTGAAGCTGACAGCGCCATTTGCATGAGTCACAGGCACCCTCCATGCCAAGAACTCTGCTGTGGAGGTCTTGGCACGTAATGGATGGATCTATGCATGCCGCCCACATGTATTTCATCACTTCCTCCGACAATCAATCAGAGCAGCGATTTGCAATGATTCAGTTCGGAGCAGGTTCAGATCTGTCCACGGCGAACTTTCACATAAGGTTGTCTCCGAACCGAGGTCCTGACCGAAATCGCCAGTAGCGGAACCCGACAACACACACATCAAGAAGACCCGAACACAGGCCCACAGGCAACCCGAAATCCACCACCCAACACAACCCAACCCGAACCCGTTGCCCTGTCAAGCCTTCGTAAGCTCGAGGGCCCTAGTGATTGCAATCCTACTCTCCTGTTGCCGCAAAGAAGGCCTGGCAAGCCCAGACATGGTATGTCAACCAAAAGCCAAGGCAAGTGTTGAACACCTGGTCACATCAGGCACCATATCAACACAAAACACTGCAGTAGCCGTGTATACATTTTAACTATCGCAACCGGTACTGCCGCTACTTATCGTACCTTTACTGCTAGCCGTGAGTATTCTTCGCCCGCTTTGCGCAGCAGAGGTTGCTGGGCCTTCAGCTCCTCTTTCCGCTCTTCGCTCCAGGGCTTCTCCTGCCAAGGAAGAAATCATTACTGGGTTTGGCGAGGGCGTGCGGTACTTGGAGGAGTTAAGGGGTATTAGGGTGGTTTGCAAGAATCTGAGAAGGGCTCTAAGGTGGATAGAGGTCGAGAGGAGCTTAGGGTCCAGAGCTGTACCAACGAACAGAACAAGCGTTCATTGCAACGATGAAAAGAACCTGCACAGCAGAAAAAGAGAATGAAGAACTCTTCATGCTGTGAATCCCTGGCCTGCCCGGGCAAAATTGGCATGCGGGCGGTGTCCAAAGCGTTAGAGTCGCCGACATTGCCCAGCAACCTGTCCAATCCGTGAGGAGCAGCCTGCTTTTCTTGAGTAGCCCTATGCCCTATAAGTCAACAGCTCCTGCGCAAGCCACGAAAGGATACGTGAACCGGAGTGACAGGGACGTGAGAAGCGAGGTGTGGCAAGACCAAATCCACAGAATGACGTGAGCATGGAGCCAAAACAAGAGGACACTCTTAGAGCCCGACGAGCTGTGCGGCAAGATGCTGATTTACAGATCAGCATTAGTGAGAAAGATTGAGGTCTGTCACCTCATTGCAGATAGAAAAGGGAAACAAGACGACACATTAGCATGCTTGGCGTATGACCTGGGATCTTGCGCCTCAAGGCTAAGACGTTGCGGCTTGTCAACTCTTCCCCCATCCCCGGTATTCTCCCATTACCTCCGTTTACGTCGCGTGCTTTTCTGACAGATGTGGGTGTTCGGAAGCTCGTTTCACAACCCCTATAGTTAACGATGCTGGCCACAGCAACAGCTTACAGAAGTGCTTCTTCATTGAAAGACAAGGGGCTTTGTCGAGGCTTTCCTGAATCGTTTATTGGTTCTCCCCGACACCCTGAAACCTAAACCAGACACGCCAAACCGAATTTCTTGCTGGGATGTGCAGGATTTCGAGCGGCTTGTCGCCTTTGTTCTCCACGAAGTCCTTGCTCCCCTTCATTCTCTCTCTATGTATGATTTCTGTTCGTTCACGTGGGGCTGGTGTCGGTGTGTTCTGCCAGGATTTTCAAGGATGCTGTCAGTCCTGGCGTGTGCCGGTGCCGGTGGCTGCGCTTGGTCTTTGGAGACGCTTCTCCTCGTTTCTTCCTTGTCATGCTGGGTTGGTGCTGGCGGCTTGCATTGGGGACTGCGCAGGTTCGTCTCCTCTCCGAATCTGTCTTTCTATCGTATCTCCGTATCTCTATCTGAATGTCGGTTTCTAACCAGTTTCCGCCTTCTTTCGTACATCATCGCTGCGTGTGTCTTTCCGTTTTCGTCTCCAGGTCCAGGTGCGAGAGTTTGCTGCTTCCCTAGCCTACTGCTGTACTTCTTGTACTTCGTAACGATGATCATGAAACCCTAGACTCCTAGACCTTGAAAGCCAGAGCCCAGTGCCTTCTCTGGCTCTCTGGCTGCCTGGCGCGAGGAGTTTAGGCTACACTCAGGGTCTGGGTGCCTCCAGTGCCAGATCAAGCAGTTCATGTCGCAGCTGATTATGTCAGTGATCCAACTGAGAGCAGGGCTACGAAAGCTAGAAGCAGGACTGCGGAGACTTGCCTTTATGCGACAGCAGCAGGTAAGCCTTGCTGTCGTAAGGTTCTCGCTCTACATAAAAGAAATGATAAGTGGCAACAACTCTAAACTCTACAAAAGGCTTTGAGTCGCGCTTGCAAGCATCGCAGGGGAGGGAAGGGGGGGGGTCCTGCTAGGGGGAGACCCCGATTTGAAGCAATTTGTGAACGACAACTCCCGCAAGCTCCAAAGAGCCAGCTTTCGTGACATTTCCAGTCGAAAGCTCGTGCAATGCTCGGGAAACAACAGTTACAAGGATGCAAGTTTGCGGCAACGCCTCGAGGTAAGGGCATCCTCCCCGCCCTCCTCGTCGTCCTCGTCAAACCTCGGGACAAGCGGATTTCAGGAAGGGGAGGGTGGTGTTCCCTGTTTGAGCTTCGGGCTCCAAAGCCCGTAATTGAGTACAAAGGCTTAGAAGACATCTGGAGCTGTCCCGGGTGTAAGGCTTTCGATTCTAGGGGCTTCTGACTTCGACATGTGCGCTGACTCTGGAGGGCTTCTTATCTAAGAATATCGGAGAGGATATACCGGGCTGTTTCAGTGGCTGTAAGCGTCTTCAGCAGGCAAATGGATTGGGGTCTGGATCTCTGCAAATCCGAAATCCCGATCCCCAAACCCTGAAGCCCCGACCGTGAAACCCTAAACCTTCTAAGACCCTTATAGGAACCTAATAGAAGACTCACAGTAACTCGACCCTGAAAACCCCAACCCTAAAAGCCCTCAAAGACCTGCCGAGGCGCAGAGGGACGGTGGCGTGGTCGGTGGGGCCGTGGCTGCCCTGCGTGCCCGGATCTTTGGAGGAAGCGCTTCCTGGAGGGATCTGCTCCAGTATGTTTTTGGTCTTAAGGGGTTTAGGATTGTGGTAGAAAAACTGTTGAGTCAAAAAGGTTGCAGGGTTCAGGAGTTTTTTTTTGAACGCCTTTTTCCTCCTGGATTCAGGAGTTTCGGGTGCTGTGTGTACGCGTGTTTGCATGACAGACAAGCAGACAGACAGACATGCAGAACGCCTTAGGTGCTTCGGGGCACCTCCGTGCTGCTCCTGCAAGCGTTCCCGGCCGTAGACCTCTGGGACAGGACCCTGTTTCAGGCTTCCAGCTGTTTTGTGCGATGGGCGCTTTTCCAACTGCTGGCACCAACTTCCGTAATACGACAGTTCGGCCACAGGACTGGAAGCCTCAAGGCATTTCTGTAGCAACTTCAACCACCCCTTCTCAGACTCTTACTGCGCAGTACCAGAGTACCACCTCAACACAGTCCTCCACAACCCTGGGACCTGGATCAAGCACTATAATTCAACAAGCACAGCAATACTCATCGTAAGCACAGAGGCAGAGAGCTTTAGGCATTTGGGTTTCAGTGTTGAACGCTTAAGCTGCTCGTACGCAACTCGTCTGGAGTCATCTTAAAGTGGAAACTTTGCGTGACAATCTACAAAACATCGCAACTCCTTGGGTGGGGGAGAAACGGAGCCCACACCTTTCTGCTGGGTTCAGGGTGTCCAGGACGTGGGGTTTAATCAGTTCAGACCATGGGGCTTTCTGGTTTCAAAATTTCTGGCTTTGACTTGGTGCTGAACTAAAGGTTTCACGCTTAAGCATTCTCAGCTTTGGGCCAGAGTCCCAGATTCAGGTGACATTGACAGGTTAGATACCACGATGTGCCAAGTATTCATCCTCGACAATACTGCAACCTATATGCATACGCGACATACCTGTACACGTGCATACGCACTGGAACCTGCAGGGCTTCGGTTTGGGCGCCGAGCTTGCGAGCCCAGGTAATATCATCATTTCATTGAGCCTAAACTTCAGACGGGCAAAACAAGCCTGTAGAACCCCTGTAAAACCCTGATCATCCTTATAGATCCCAGTATTCGTAGAACCCTTGTGGTATCCCTTGTGGAACGGTTTAAAGTAACGCTGGAACCGGCACAGACAACTTCTAGGACCCTAGGAACGCTTGTAGAATCCAGCCCATCCGAGCCCGTTGCCAGGTCTTCCAACCGCGGCCCCCGGGCGAAGCGCTGCTGCGCTCGCTCGAGCATCTCCTCGTCCTCGGGTTTCCATTTGAGTGTAGGGTTTAGGGTTTGGGGTTTGAGAGGTGTAACAGTATGCGCGGTGCGTGCGCCTGTTGCGCACACCCACTTATCGCGCGCTTGCGTCAGCAGGTAGTCCCGCCCCAGCTATTCTCAATTAACGTTTAGGGCTCAGCCCCCAACGCCCCCTCAAGGGGGGTTTCTTGCTATTTGCTTCCTTTCGGAGCTCGACACATAAACAACTACATGTCACAGGAAACCGCAACTGCTGGATTGGTGTCGGGTTGTGGGTCCTCGCGGCCTGCCCGCCGCTCGACGATAGGCATGGGCTTCCAACAAACAACTTGCCGCACTTGCCCCTCACACCCTGTAGGGGTTACTCGAAGCGAACACGCAGGAGCAGAGCAGAGCAGGGCAGGGCAGGGCAGGGCAGGGCAGGGCAGGGCAGGGCAGGGCAGGGCAGGGCAGGGCAGGCAAGAACAAACTTGTGTGGATAAAGGCTTGGACAAAATGAATAACAAACAGAAGAGTGCCAAGTTTTGCTTAGGCAGCAGCCGCTTCTACGAGCGGGGTGTGGGTGGGTGGGTAGGGGGGGGTGGGTGGGGGGGGGTGGGACCCAACAGATCGCATTGAATAGGCCCGGTGGGTGGTGACCCCCCTCCTCCTGATGCACAAGGGCAGTTGGGGGGGGGGTGGTGACTCTCCGCCCACGAGTTTGCAGAAGACCACGCCGTGCCAAACTATCCTTTCAGGGACCTGGACAGCACACCTTGTTCGAAGCCTTACAGAACCCTACAACAGGTGGCTCCTGCTCTGCATCTTCTTCCGGGCACTCCTCCTCGCCTTCCTCGTCTCCCGAAGCATCCTTTCAGAAGCAAGTTAAAAGCTTCACACAAAAGCACCGTAAGGGTTTGCAAAGTTCTCAAATACAGTCAAAGCTTGCCCTACAGTGGGATTTGCAAGGGGCGCACATATGTAAACCCGAAGAGCCCCACAAGCCTAACTCAAAAGCGCACGACTAGGAGCCTTTGGGCACTTCTTCGAGAAGGTTCGGGCTTCGGCATTAGGAGTGCAAGAGTTGGGTTCGACAAGAACAAACCCTGAACGTACCAAAGCTTTTACCTGTTCTGATTACGGTGCTAGTTCTACTTGAGTCTGGATATGGTCTTGACGATGACTATGACTCTGGCGATGGCCATGATTGAGGGTACGCAAGTCAATATGGAGGCATTGCAGGCGTCGCCATCGGAGCCCACACTACCACTCTCATTACTCCCACCACGGTTCTGGTCATAACTATCAAGTGTCAGTCGAAGACGTGTAAGCCCTCAACGCATAAACTCGAGCAGGAGGCCTCCTGCTTTGCATCGAGCGCCTCGGTTTGACCAGGGCTCAGGCCGAGTCAGAAGACGAGGACGAGGAGGAGGAGGAGGAGGAAGAAGAAGAAGAGCGATGATGGGTGTTGATGGATGGATGGCTGCCTGCCTGACGTGGGCGATGGTGGTGGTGGCGGTGCTGGCGGTGCTGGCGGTGCTGGCGGTGCTGGCGGTGCTGGCAGCGGTGGCAGTGGTGGTAGTGGTGGCAGTGGTGGCAGTGGTGCCAGTGGTGCCAGTGGTGGTAGTGGTGGTAGTGGTGGTAGTGGTGGTAGTGGTGGTAGCGGTGGTAGTGGTGGTAGTGGTGGTAGTGGTGGTAGTGGTGGCAGTGGTGGCAGTGGTGGTAGTGGTGGTAGTGGTGGTAGTGGTGGCAGTGGTGGTAGTGGTGGTAGTGGTGGTAGTGGTGGCAGTGGTGGTAGTGGTGGTAGTGGTGGTAGTAGTGGTGGTGATGATGGAGGTGGAGATGGAGATGCAGATGCAGATGCAGATGGTGATGATGATGATGATGATGCTGCTGATGATGATGATAAGAGGGAGAGGAGGATGAGGATGAGGATGGGGATGAGGATGGGGATCATTACGAAGGTCATGGTGATGATCATGATGATAGTCATGATGATGTTCATGATGATGATGATGATGATGATGATGAACATGATGATGAAAATCATGATGCTGATGCTGATGCTGATGCTGATGCTGATGCTGATGCTGATGCTGATGCTGATGCTGATGCCATTGCCGATGCCGATGCTGATGGTGATGGTGATGGTGATGAGGAGGAGGAGGTGGAGGAGGAGGAGGAGGATGTGCTGGAAGCTTAGACCCAAATTAGAGACCGGTCAGCTTCAAAGCTGGATGGAGATCTGGCTATCTGCCGCCTTGGATGTGCCTTCAAGCACAGCATTTTTGGGGAGATGGCTCTCAGTTTCGGGTTAGGTCTGGGCTGGAGTTTGAGGGTATGTTCGGGGCGTGTTTACTTCTCGAGCATGCAGTGTCCACCAAACCAAACCCTAAACACGAGACCCCCAACCCTCAGAAACTCCAAAACATAAAACACGCCACGACAAAACCCAAAATCCCGAAATCCTCAAATTCTGAAAGAAATGTTCGATAAGGCTGCCACGTTCCCTTCTGGAGCCGGTCGCCTCTGGGGCTGGTCTTCAGCCTTGCCTGGAAGACGGCTTCGTATAATGGTCCTCACTTCGAGTTTCGCTTTACTATAATATACTGTAATATACTATAAGATACTATACTATAATACACTACACTGTAATATACTATACAGGGTGATACGATTGGACTAGAAGCATTTAGCTTTTGTTTTTGCATCGGGCACATTGAAGCAATGCGGAGGGGCGCCCTCAAGCGCTCAAGGCGGCTTGAAGCTTTGAGAACAGAAGTAAGTCTCCGTCATCCTTGTCCGGTGTAAGAAAAGGGAAGGAGGAAGAGGGGGTTGCACTGGTCGAGCTCTGCTGGGACTCCGGATGGTCAGACTAGTGCAGCTGTCGTTGTTAGTCTTTTTGTTCGGTGAAGTGCGGGAAGAAACAGCCGATAGTCCGGACCCTGTTCCACCCCAAGATTCTTATCCTGACTGTAGACTCAGCCGCAGACCTTGAATCGGAACCCCTAACTCGGAGCAGCCTTAATCCTGGACCCACAGTTGACCGCGAGTTAGTGCACGATACTGCACTGGAAAACAGTATGTACTACAAAGTCTTACTACACGACATGGTCTTGTTCTATCTTATTGCAACATATGTCCAAGATATAGTACTACAACCCACGTGCAGTGTACTGCGCTTACACTACACTACTTACGATTATTTACAAGCCGCATGCGCCTGAGGCATCCGTCTGGTCCATACGAACTGCTGTGTCCCCAATCAGGCGAAGCTTGGCGCGCCCCTCCGAAGCCTTCCGAACGGAAAGCTTAGGCCCTTTTTTGGCGGGAGCGGGGGGTTTGCAGCGTCTGCGGAGCTTGGGAATCATTGTGAAATATTGCAAAATTGTTTGGGCAACGCGTGTTAAGGATTTGGGGCTTCATCGAGTTCTACGAGGGTTTGGAGCTTGCGGGCTTGGGGTTTGAGGCTTAAAGATCACCTATTTTGTTGAAGAGCTTTTTCGTTGCGGTTTAGAGAGCCCGATCAAGTACTGCGCGAACCGCCACAACGATTCACTAACCTCGAACAGCCTGGAATCCCCGAACCTTCAGACAGTGCAGTGCTGGATCAACCCCTCAACGGCCTAAACAAATCCTGCTTAACAAGACCTCAAGTCCTCCTTTTCCGCCCTTCAGAGCCTTGTCCAGGGCCGCCTCCGACGTTTGCAGAGCTCTGACCTGCGGCTCGGGCTCTTGGAGGGCCGGGAGGTTGGGATCTTTTGGGGCTGCGCAGATTGACAGCTTGGACTGCGATCGAAGATCTCCACTCGGCCAGTTCATGTGGAAGCGAACCGACCCAGTCCTTCCACCCCGAACCTGCTCACGACCTCCTCGCTGGAGAAGCGCAAGGCAAGCACCGGAGCTGCTGCACACAACGAGTGACATCCTGCGCAAAGAGCCCGGAAACTTCAACCTGGCCGTGAACATCTAAAGTCAAAACCCCTACCTCCAAAACCCTTCACTCTAAACCCCTGAACCTGTCTTAAGACTCAGCCCCATGCGAGCCGCACAGCTTCCGGAAGCTGCTCCGGGTCTTTCCTTGGTGCTGGTACTTCTACTTGAGAAGGACTTGAGAAGGGGCCACACGAGCTAGTGGGACGAGGGCTTGGCTACGGCTACGATTCGCGCGGCTGTTGTGTGTTTAGGTGCAGCGGGGCAGCAGTAGCACACAGAGCTCGGCCTCCACGTGCTTAGCAATACCAGCGCTATCTCTAGTGCTATTTGTACGAGCAGCAACAAGAGTAGTAGCTTTGCTCAGATCAGGACGCAAAAGGGGGGGGACAACAGTGAAGAAACCCCAAGCCCCCTTCGTCCCCAAGCCCCTTCGTCCTCGGCCTGCTTTCTGCAAATTCCAGCCCGTTCACATGAAACAAACTCCCTCATTCCTTAATGACGACCGTCTGAAAAAATTACTATTACGCTTCCCCGCGATCTCCACCCGCAACGAGAATCTCCCCTCTGCCCTGTCTTAGATCGAGAATGACGACTGAGTTCCGACTGAAGCTTCGAGCGTTGAGGGTTGGGGATGATAAGACAGTCGCTACGGCTATCTCATTGCGGGATGTCAGCAGAAGGCTCCGAAGCCATGGAACTCCGGTTTAGGATTGCGGTATAGTAGCAGAGAACCTCATAAAGCACGTTTACATATCCGACATCCTCCAACAACCCCTTCCAGGCTCTCCGAGAAGACGAGCGTCTCCGCGCTCTGCTCGTCCTTGGGGGTGAAGCCTGCCTGGACGAGAAGAAACATTCCGGAGGAACAAAACCTTTCGACCTCAGGTGCAGTGGTGGCGACGGTGGCGCCAGTTGCTAGGAAGATGTTGGAACTGACACTGATAGTACACTGATGGTGACGAACAATCGAGCATGATTCATGATGGTGGTGGCGATGATGATGATGATGATGATGATGGTCATGGTGATGATGATGGTGATGATCGTGATGATGATGGTGGTGATGGTTGTGGTGAAGAAAATGATGACACTGATGCTGATGATCACGGTGGTGGTGGTGGTGGTGGTGGTGGTGGTGGTGGTGGTGGTGGTGGTGGTGGTGGTGGTGGTGGTGGTGGTGGTGGTGGTGGTGGTGGTGGTGGTGGTGGTGGTGGTGGTGGTGGTGGTGGTGGTGGTGGTGGTGGTGGTGGTGGTGGTGGTGGTGGTGGTGGTGGTGGTGGTGGTGGTGGTGGTGGTGGTGGTGGTGGTGCGGCCGGCAGTACTGGCAGATTACAGTACTTGGAACGGTATGTAGCATGCTGCGCTTTGTGATCAGCATTTGCATAACTTCCGAATGCTCGAGCTCATGCGAAACGGCGTATCATTTCTCATAACTTGCTGCGCACTCCTGGATATTATCTAATGTTCCTCCGACTTCGAAGTATTCCGGGGCTCAATAGAAGCAAGACTCCGGGATGCGCAATCTGGAGAATCGGAATCGTTCATGCACGTGATGAGTAAGCTCTACGGCTCTGCGGGTAATCAGGAGGAGGGGGAGGACGACGACGACGATGACGATGATGATGCATATTCGTTATCCTGCACAACCCACAAGCAGCAGGCAGCAGGAAGCTTGACGGCGTGCCTGCTGATCGGGCACATAGATGTACATCGCCTGCCATTGCACTCTAGCTTGACGCAGGGGGTGGGGTGGTCACATAGATCATAAATCCAAGATACTCTCTGAATAAAGAAATAGTCCGCACAGCTGTAAAGTTGAATCAATCCATCCTTTCGCAACCTGAGACCCACAATGGCCCACACGCACTTTCGTCACAAACCTCAGCTGCCCTTTCGTAGCTGTCGAAGCTTCGAGGTGATGTAGAATGCACAGAAATCAGCTGACACACGTTAGGTGATTATCAGGGATACTATAAGGATTACAACAAAGCTTACTATACGGTGCTTGAGAGAAGGTAGTATATAACACAATAGGGGCTCAACTCTCCGGCCTCGGAGTCCACGGTGATGCTGCCAATGTCGGAGCCCGGGGCATAGACGATGCGATGTCGTTCGGCCAGGGTCCGGAGCGCATTCTTCTTGGGCCTAGGTGATGCTTCGACTCTTATCCCCAGTCGAACGCAACTCCACACGGAAGCCTAAAGACCATCGACGTAAACCAGTTCCGTAAACTTAAAACTCCTAGGCTCTGAACCAAACAACTCTGCAACCCGTAACTTCAAACCTGTAATTCCACTCTCCTAGATATTGGCTAAGAGCCAGACTTCTCGTCAGTTTTCTTGCTCGCTCTTCTTCGCTCCGCCTCCGTCTCCATGGGCGGCGGGCACCTTGTCACTCGTTTTGATTGAGGTTTGCAGTTTGACACAGCCCGGGGCTTTTTAAGAACTGGATTACAGTGCTTTCATGGCTCCGCACACACCACCACAACGCACGTGCTTCTCTGCCGTGCATTTAGGCTCAGGCTTCCCAGCCCACGCACTCAGCTTGAGAGGTGGAACAGGCTCAGGTGCTCGTGTAGTCATTTTTGTTGCTGCCCGGCTTGCCCTGATGATGCAATTTTGCGGGCTGGGCTGTGCTGAGATCGGTGGCGACGAAGGATTTGAGAATTTGGCTGCACGCGGCGGCGCATTCCGAGTGTCCGGACCAGGCGCAGCTGTCAGATCTCGACTTGGTGAACTTTCCGGCCACCTCTCAGCCTTGTCTACGATCCGCCTTTTCTCCGGTGCCCGCCATCCCAAACCCGACTCGTAAATCCGTGTAAACCCTGAATCAACAAAGCCAGGAAGAGCGAGGGAAACGGCACGGAACATGACGGAGGAGAAAGAAAAGTAAATCTCATTAGTTCAGGGGTTGGGGCTCATGGGTTGGGGATGTTGGAGGGCTCATAAACCAAGCTGTTGCCCCCAGAGAGCCTGAGTAAAACCTGCATCCACGTTCCAAAACATGCCGAACTCACGGGTCGGGGAGGCGCTTGATGGAGCTGATGTTGAAATCGCCTGCTACAAAACTCGCACGTTAGCTGGTGATTGTGCATCCATGCATGCGCCATCTGTCTATCTATCTGCCCACCTACCTGCCTACTTACCTACCTAGCTAGCTACCCAAGCACCCTCCTGCCTATCTTTCTATGTGCTTATCCATCCATCCACCCATCAATCCGTATCTCTATCTGTCGATCTATCGATCTGTCGATCAATCTATCTATCTACGTGTGCAGCTACGCACATCAGTGCACACATGCATACGCAAACCGACTCAAGCACAGAGTACTATGCACGGCATGCCGTGGCTTGCTACAGCAAAATGACGCACACTGTGTCTTGCTGAGCTGACCGCGATCTAGAATCTAGTCTGTGATACTGTGCTATTGTATACTTTCTATACCTCACAACAACAACAACAACAGCAGCAACAACAACAACAACAATTTATTATTGGACGCTGAGCGAGCGGGCTCTGCTCATTGCGGGCGAGCAGAAACTTCGGAAGCGTGCCATCCCCGAGTGTGCCGTGAGCCAGCGCCACCGGGTTAGCCATAAGCTAGCACCACTCCCTTAGGATCTGACCTGCCGACATTCTTATAGAGGTTACGCGGTCTTCGCCCGGCGGCCTTGTAAAGAAAAAGAAACAGACTGGCGCTTTGCGCGAGGGGACTGCCCATGCGAGAATCGCAGGTACCTCCTTCATTCGTTTCTGAGAACTACGACCGAAGTCAGGCCCCGAGGCCTCGCGTAAAACAAGCCAAAACGAACTGACCTAACAAAACCAACAGAGAAGACCGCGCAACCCCTATAGGATCCTCAGTGAAGGAAAAAAGAGGAGCCGATGCAACAAACGTTAAAAGAGAAAAAGCCTAAGTCAAGAAGAGCAGCGCTGCAGACTGTACACAGCAGCAACAGCTCTTGGGCACCAGCCTTTAGGGGATAGGCCACAAGAAGTTGACTTCAATTACAAAGGCGTTGCCCGTTTTTGCGCGAGCGATGCCCGAAACTCCTAACGTGACAGCCCGACTCACAAAGTCGTCGTCATGTAGCCTCCGTCACCCTCAGTGTGAGTCATTGCGGCCAATACTCACGAACTGGCAGCCGGTGGGTCGTACTCAGAGGAGCCGTCTCCCAGAGTTCCCGTCTAGTGGCGTCCCACACTAGGTAACTCCCGACTACCAGCGATGGGCCGTAAGGATAATTCGTCGTCAAGCAAAAACACGTGGGCCGTCACTCCTAGCACTGCCTGACCCCGTCGGTAACAGGACAGTAACGAACACACCTGGTAGGGCCGTAGCCGTAGCCCGACACCCATAGCACAGCAAGCGCGTCCGCTTAACGACTGTACCCAGATATGACGTGGAGCCGTACCAGGTAGACACCGTGCTGGAACTGAAGACGTTGGCCAACTCTGCTGAACCTGAGTCCCCAATATCCCAATCTGCGCCTTGTCTTGTAGACAAGTCCGGCCCGGCGGCCTCCCCCTCCAGAGAGGATAGCCCCTCTAGGCCCTCAAGGGCACCCCATAGCAAGAGGAGTCCCTGGAATGCCCGTCGGGGCCAGCATTGGGAGGATGCTGACGCGTTGTGAGTCACCACGTTGCGCCTAGCCTGTCCTGAGTCTGACTTGCTCCCAGGCGCTGGCGGCTGAACAGAAGTGAAGCGCAGAAAACACTCAACCGTGACGAAGAACTCTCGATCGCACTGGCTTCGTAGCAGCCGGTGGCAGTCCACTGTGCCGTTGAAGTAAAAACTAGCGCTCGAAGAAGACTGCATGAGAATACCAGACGATCCGTGTCCTTCTTGCGGAGGTGTACCAGTTAAAGCGCAAAACCAGAGCGCCAGCAAAACTGCGCAGGAGAGACCTTGAGCTGTACCTGGGTGTCTTGTCGTGTAGCTGGAAAGTCGAAGAGAGGAGCGGAACGAGGCCTCAACTCGAAAGCTTCCTTCAGGATACCCAGGTGCAGAAGATGGCCAACCCATGACTGGGGCCGCCCCTTGAATGGCTTGGTGCGGCAGGTCCTTTTGTAAATGTAAAAGCATCGGCAGGAGAAAAGCACTGAGGCACAGTCGACGCGCCTTCCGCTAGTTTCGCCGGAAAGAGAAAACTCGATCCGACTCCCTTCACCCCGCGGAAAGGTGATAACCCTACCGCTTACCTCTTGCCAATGTTGTGTAACTGCAGACAGAGGCCCAGGAATTGGGACCCGGTAGATCACAGCGACACGTGGCTCCAGGGATGGCTATGGCTCAGTAAGAGGACGGTCCCTTAAGCTTCGCAGAAGGGGGACGTTGCGAGCCTCTAGCGTTGGTACCCAGAGCCTTGTTAGCAAAGCTACACAGCCTGCTGTGATCCATAGCGGCTACAACAACAACAACAACACCATTTCATTCACACGCAGCGGGAGGATACTGTCTGAGGTGAAACTTAACGTCCACGCTTTGCGAGGGATCGACCTGCTGCTCTGCTTGCTACTTGCGCGGTCACTTCATGACGAGCCGTGCCTTAACACAGCACTCGCACACGCTCCGCCCCTCAAGGCTGCAAGCAATGAAGTCGGAATCGGACGTGTCTTCAGTGACTCGAGCTGCAGACTCTGGCACGAATGTGTCTTCAGAGTCTTATGCGGCATCGGTGGCCTGTTGTGGAGAGGGGTCCCCTGAGGGAGGATCTCCACTCTTGGCCTTTGCTGCAGGGGGAGTATCTCCACCGTCGCTTTGCCCAGTGCTTCTCTTTTTGGAAGGACGAGGAGGGGGAGTGACTCCACCCGAGGGGAGAAGCTCCACCTGATGTTCTCCTACTGTTTAAAAACCCCTGGGGAGAAACTCCACCAGCTGTAAACACATGGCAAGGGGAGAAACTCCTCCGATTGTTGGGGAGAGTCTCCTCCTAAGGGAGCATCTCCGCAAGGCTCGCTGGAAGAGCTCTTGCAGAGACATTACTCGGGAGATTAGCTACGTCCTGGGGCTCGTGAGAGACGGCGCTGCGAGCTAGGAAGATGACGTAGCTATTTTCTTGAAGCAGGGGATCTTCGAGGGTACAGGGACTAGGGGGGTGGGAGTCATCACCAACATACCAGGCATCTGCTGTACGTACAGCTGCACGGTAATGGCCACTAGTGGACTCCATTCCTAGGTGAATGATCACTGCCTCTACTGTGTAGGTACAGAACGAAACTCGGGATGTGTGGTCCAGGAAGACAGGGATCTGGACTTGCTGTGGGATTGTGATGCGAGTGTGATCCTTAGCTTCACCTGCGAATCTCGGCAAGGCTAAGCACACCTGCTGTGCAGCTTCTATGAGAGCACATGAGCGCTCCTGAGACGACCATGCCACTAGCATGTCCTGTAGGTTGGTCTTGATCGCCGTGGCAAGATGAATGGGAGAGCCCCCTTCTTCGTCCACTATCACGCCTTCCGGTACTGAGGCTCTAGTTTCCCACTGTCCAAATCTTGATGCAGAGAGATTCCGAAACACTTGCTGCAGGAACTCAGCAGTGTCGTGCTGGCCTCCGTCGAAGAGCCAGCCCATGGTGAGCTCCGAGAAGACTCTGTGTTCAGGGGTTATTCTCGCAAGCTGACTGATCCGGGATGCCTCTTGAAAAGTCGCCTCTGAAGGATCCCATAGCCAGTGGAGACACTGCAGACCTGAGTTGGCATAGCAGTGGTTGCGAGTATTGGCTAGCAGGAGAAAGCCTTCCAGTCTAAACACGGGGTGAGGAATTCCTGGCGTTGAATCTGAAGGCTTCTTTGTGACTGTCTTCGCCGATGCCGTGGACTTTGCTCGAGTATATTCGCGGGGCTGCTTGCTGAGCTGCTGGCGCGCTACCTCCTGCAGTACGTGCACCTGCAGTAATGGAACGCACTGCTGAGCATGTCTACCCGGGGCATCCACACGAAGTTTGCAGTATCGACAGCTATCTCCTTTGTGGAAGAAGACCTTGAATTGATTGAGTCTTGGTTGGAGAGTTTTCTCCAGCTTGGCCATCACCTCAGGATGCTGCTTGTTTAAATGCTGTTTGGCTCCTTTCTGGCCTACGAGGACCTGACCACAGAGTGCGCAGTGTTCCATCAGGTAATCATGGAACGCCGGATTTCGAGCGGCGCCTTCTGGATTGTCCTGGGCATCAGACTGTAGACTTTCTACGAGTGAGATCCGGTTCTGTGCTTCTAAGGGTAGCTCTTCCTGCTGTCTAAGCAAAAGCTCTACCCTAGGGCAGGTAGATGCTTCGACATGTTTGCGCAGATAAAACACTGTTCGGAATGTTGCTCGACAGGCGATGCAAGTTGCTGACCCTGGCATTGAATGCAAAATAGGATCAAATTTGGGT